TTGTGATACTACAAATGAAGTCCTCCACCCCCGGACGTTTCCGCCGTCTGGTTTGGGGGTGTGACAATATATATAAAGATTCTTAAAAAATTCATTCCGGGTAAATTGTGATACAGAAAAAACATTCTTTAAACTAGTAACATATCAAATTATTATATTCTATGAACTAGTCTACATCAAAAGACAACAAAATCATAAAAATATTTAGGATTTCTATTATGAATTCTTGAAGAATGAGATACAAAAAAACATTCTTGAAGTAACATACATAAAGAAAAATAAGATACATTGACATTCAAATGTCATTCTTGAATAATAAAAACATTATTAAACTAGCATGCAAAAGTATCACAATTTGGTCCATTCTAAAAGAATATGTTGATAATGCATTTTAAAAGAATATGATATGCATTCTGAAAGAATATGTGGATGCATTCTGAAAGAATATGTTGATGATGCATTACCAATGTTCATCATTCCCGATTCCAAACTTTCAATCTCCATCAGTGAAACCAATCCCATAAACCTGATTCCAAAATTGCAAATTAGATTTCAAATAAAGAAATAATCATTATAAGATTTATTAAAACATAAAGATCATACATAAACACCAAAACACAAATAACATTTCTATTGTAGGAATTCACCTTGTATTATGATTAACAAATGAGTCTTATCAATTTCATTAAAAGCTATGCATTGGCCTTTGCTTTCAGCTGCCAGTACCTACAGAAAGCACATAACCTAGTTAACTAAAATTGCCTTCTTAAATAAAAATAGAATGATGAAAAAGAAAAAAAATGTAACTAGAGAAGTGAATATTAAAATCAAATTGTTCTAGGAGCATCAACAATAAAAAAATAAAATTACCACAAAAAACATGTCCTTTATAAATATACTATGTTCATAATCTTGTGACATTAACCAAATTCAGGAAATTCCCAAATATGTTGAGAAACAGGGCATTAAGTTCAATAAAAAAAATTACATTTAAACATATATAAAATGAATCAAAGAGAACAAAAAAACCTACCTGGAAGCATTATTTGCATCTCTCAATATCATTATCGTCTTCATTAAATTTCAAACCTAAAAAAAACAACCGTAGGTGCTTTATACAAAAGAGACAAAAGTGCATGTATAGTCATTGTTGAATTAGAAAAAGCATGTAAAGTATATATAAACAAAAATACAACATTTTTACCAATAAGAAAAAACAAGTACAAAAAATATCCATTCATCCCAAAATAAAAAAAAAGTTATGAAGAAAATATTTACCATCGAGTCTATCAACGTTCAGTAGAAAAAAAAGGTCCAGCCACATAATGAAACCAATAAAAACATTATCTAACTTATAAGTAAAACATACTTGTAGCAATGAGACATATCTGGGTTTGAGTGGAATTAAGAGATTATTAAGGGAGAATGACAAGAACAGCCGCTACGACCAATTAGAGGAAATGTTGGAGCAGTTGGGAGAAGAACATCCGACGGGCATTTAAGGTAGATTCTTAAAAACGAAGGTTGCAGTGGAGAAGAATAGTGGGGTAACGGTAGTTAGAAGGCATCGACTGGTTGTTAAGATACATCGATATGGAGGGATACATCAGATAAAGAGTGGCTTGCATGGAGGTCGACGTCTTCTTGGAGGCATATTCGGTGATGGTGGCGTGTTTTTGATGATTTCAACTGTGACATAGGGTTATGGATGGAAGACGTGATATAAGGATTATTCATCCATGATTTAAGGGATTTAATTTTGGTTGTTATTCAATTTTATGTAATATTACTTTTCTACCCTTTATTGATTATTTAATTATTTATTTTTTCTAAAATTTGATTGGTTCCTACGACCACATAATAGTTGTACATCCACATTTAAACCTACATCTCTCTCTCTCTCTCTCTCTCTATATATATATATATATATATATATATATATATATATAATAATAATAATAATAATAATAATAATAATTAGATTATAACTTCATTAAGGAATTAAGAGTAAATTTTGTTGGAATGAGGTCCAAGCAAAACATAATTATACCATCTACTAAATAAGAGTACATTGCTACTTCAGAAGTTGAAATTAAATATGATTGGATGAAATAGATCATTGAAAAACTAGGTTGAATCATTCCATTCAGGGATAACCTAGAAATCTTTTGTGGCTTCGAGAGTATACTTAAGCAAGCTAAGAGACTTTATATCACATCTAAACACCAATCATATTCTTCAAGATAATTAACTATACTTAATGTAAAGTCATATATGAAGATGATAGTATTCGCAGAAGTCACAAAAATTAAATTTAGTCGGACCCATTAATAAAGTCTTTCCCTTTAAGCTAAGTATGAATGGTCACACTTTAGCTATAGGACTTCATTATTTTAGAAATGGGTTTTTGATTTGAATTTAGCATTTAGATATTGGAACATTAAGACAACTACTATTATATTGTTTTGATATATTGGGATATAATCATCATATCAATACTTGTTTTGTTCTATATTAACATGTTTAATCCATGAATAATCTTATTATTCTAAAAGTTTATGGTTGGTTATAATTATGGGAGCAATTATGAAGTAAGACTAATATGAATTGGATTGGTTGACTCTCACTAGATGAAAGTTGGCAATGGGTTGTAACCAAGATTCAGAGGTACTTGTTAGAGAACTGGTATTAAACGGACCCGCATCCAGATCATCTCACAGATTGCAGTTATGAGTGATACTTAACTAAAATGTACTATCTTTGTATCCTTAACACGCGAGATACATAGTAGGACTTAAGTATAAGGAGTCTTGTGGTTTGATATGGGAAAATGTTGATCCTTAAACGGGCAGTTATAAAAGCAACTTTCAGGTATGCTATGAACTATGGAAGAGGCTTATATAGTAAAGATAGGATTTATTCCTCTTATGTTTTGAGAGTTAGGCATCTACTACGGTACCTAAAGTTGAGCTCGAAATAAGATTAATTGCAATCCAAGTCTTATGTTCAACAGGATGTCTGTAACAAAGGGATAGCTGATAAACTTTCCTTATACATCAATTGGAGCTTTGAGCTTTTGGGAATTGGATGTTGATGAATGACATTCTTCATCGTATGTTATTAGGGACAGTGAAATGTTGTTAGACGTTCACCACTATCTATATCGGTATATGATGAGTCGTGTGCAAATGAGAGATTGAAAGATCTTGTATGCCCAAGAGTCATTATAGAATGATATTGCAAATGACATATGATCTTATCGGGTCACACCTTATAGCAAGTTACTGCTAATTGATTATTTATTAGAGTAATTATTATTATTAATAAATATCAACCCTTGTAATTAATTGGAAAAACATTATTTTATGAAAATAATATTTACCAACATATTATGAATTATTGTTTCTAGGAAATAATAATAAAAGAGAACAAAAACTAGCTCAATATCATATTGTATGATTATAATGTCATGTACAAATTAATAAGTGGGAGTTAGTATATGTAACCAGTTAGTTGTTATAAAGTAAACGACATATAACTTGGTCTCCTTAGACCATATAGCTTAATTTTCAAGGGTATGGAGTAAGATTGCTTTTTTCCTTTATTTAATATATCACCGATGCACTAGAAAGGGCCTTACTCATTTTGCTTTATTGTCTTGCCTTTTATCTACATTAGATGGCACATAAAAGAAAGAATCGCTAGTGTTTTGAGTGAGTTACTTCACTTGATATTCATCTTCCTTTTGGTGATGCAAAACCACAAGCATAGTGCTTTTATAGGCTGCCAAATTTTCGAAGTTCAATCCCTCTTCTCCGTTCTTTCTTTCTTGTAAATGGTGCATGAAATGAAGACTAATAAGTTGCTTTCTATTAAGACTTATTTAGATATGTCTTAATGACTTAAAATTATCTTATTAACAAATGTATACTAGAGCTTATAATAGAAACCTAGTAATCACAAGAAAACCAAATCATGAATAATGAAACATTGAAGTATTATATGAAAAAAGTTCACCTTCACTTAGTAAATGAAATTTATTGTCGTCTTCTTATTAAACCGAGTTTTTGTATCGGGGTTAGTTTTATTTATTTATTTATTTATTTATTTAAGTCGGGTCTTCGTAACGGTTCTAGGTCAATGATTTAATCGATTTTATCGTAAAACCGACCGGTTCAATATGATTCATGAATGTGCAAAACTTAATCACTCGTAGTCCAACCGGTTCGACCAATTCCGATTCTAAAACGTTGATATCCTATTGTTTAAAAAAAAACAATCTACCACTCCAAAAACCACTTATTCACTCCAATTTCATTCCAACTCTCTCATATTCTATTCTAACCCTCTCCGATTCTATTCCCACTCTCTTAAATTCAATGGATTCACCCTCTAGTTCCGATTAGCATCCCTCCCGAAAATACGTTATGGAAACCAAATCCTTATTTTTATCTTTATTCGACGATGAACCAATTTAACATTCTGTCAGCACTAGCTCGAAATGTACAAGCTCTTGCTTAGAATATCACAAGTTCATGCATGGTTAGAAATTTGAGACCTCTTATCCGGAGATATTGGAGACATTGTGAAACGGCAGAAAAAACAGTTGATCTGATATTACTTTGCGGAAAATGCAATCTTTGGTGGCGATAATTTTTGAAAAAGGTTCCGGATGATGGGATGTGAAAACATTGTTCATGTATATTTTTGGCGATCTAAAATAAATTATCCATATTTTCAAACATGAGATGCAAGGTTTCAAAAAAATTTCAGTGCTATGCAAAAATACACTTCTGCAATACAACAACTAGCATATATACAGAAACACGATAAACAGGTTATATGACTATTTAAATAGGCGAAAAAAAGTCAAAATCAGATGAAAGTCTTAAAAGTTTTACTATGGTGTCTTCAAGTAGTTTGAACTTCGGACAGATGAAATCTCATATATTCATGAACTCGTTACTTTTACTTTTATATTGAATTTCCATTTTTATATGTTAACAAAAAATAAAAAATAAACCAGCAAAAACTGATAACCCAAAAGCCACAGACAGAGTATCTAATGTCTCTTCCACCCTCAACTTTTGCTCTCTTCTCTCTCTCTTCATTTCTTCGAATTTATTGTGTCTATCTCTTGCTTCTTCCTCTCTTTTCACCCCATTTCCTCTTTTACCCTTCATAGTCCTTTCTAAAATTACCAAACTGTCCCTTCCGTTCAAGTGTTTTCCATCCATGTCCTCCACCTCCATACTCAACTCCCTCACCTGCATCTCCCCTCCCTCCGACCCACCACAGTTCACCACTATCCCACACTGCACAAACGCCGTCGCCTCCGACGAGTGCTTGTGGTTTCCGCCGGGGAGTATGGATGCAAACCGGACTTGTACTTCGCCACTCAACCAGTGTCGTTGGACGGACACCGGTTTGTGGGAGGAGAGATTGATGGCACGTTTGGATACCGGATCAATTAGTATCCAGCTTAGTGTCATGTCGTCAATCAGATGACTACATGTGTGTTCTCCATCCGGATGTGGTATTTGTGTCGGAACAATGTCTTTCGGGTCTAACAGGTCGATTCTGAACGGCGAGCACTGGAACCAACCGCTGACGGTTTCTGTTTCTTCGGTCTTCGTGAAAATCAGTTCGTTCCGGTAGTAAACATCGACAGCTGAGATTAGTCCAGACGGTGACGATACCATTGACGACGACGATGAAGGGGTGGTGGTGGTGGTGGTGGTGGTGGGGTCAGGTGAAGGTAGAGGAAATGACTGAGAGAAAAATTCCCGAGGTCCATTGGAATAATCGTCGGAGAAAGTGGAAATGATTCCAGCCACGAGCTCGCCGGAAGTTGATGGCCAAGTGGAGTGGCATACATCGGACCAGAGGCGATGGTTTCGTTCAGACATGGAGTGTATCGTGGCGGAGGCGCAGCTGGCGGAGGCTAACGTTTGTCCATCAAGCCGAGTCAGGACGTGGGACTCTAGTATATCTGTATGTAAAGAAGAAATCCCGGCGGTGTGCGGTGGTGATGCGGTGGCGATGGACATGTTGTTTGTGGTGGTTTCTGTTGTGAAAGATTACGTGTAGAAAGAGTAATGAGTTATGAGGGTTTTTCAGTTAGGATTATAAATAGTTGCTTATAGTTGTAAAAGACGAAAATACCCTTGAAGTTTGGAAAGAGTGAAAGTTGACTGATGACCAAAGTTATCGACAACAATACTAAAATAATCGAGTGGGACATAATAGAAGCCATTAGATCCACTTGGTTTGATTAATTTCCATGATTAGTCAAAGTCAACACAGTTGTTTTGGTAGTATTTGGTAAATTGAAATGTATAATGGATTTATCCATTTGTAATCTCTTTCTTTTGAAATTGTCACATTACTTTTTCTACACTAAAATAATATAATAGTCGATCAAATTATATATCTTTGTATAATCATTTATGTTATGATGCATAAATTGTTTTGTTAATGTGTATAAAACTAAAAAGTTACAAAATTTTGGTAAATAGTAAATACACAATTTGTTTGATATCTTTACATAATGATAGCTCGTATTTAAGTTTTAATGATGAAAATCCAAAATGCGTGTCATTAAGTATAATATTTCTTACACAATATGATTACTTGATGCGATGCATGAGCAACCACAATTGAAATTCTATACATTAATCATGTACTTTTTTTAAAAGGCTAGACAACCCCAAATTCTTTTTATATTTGTTTACTCATGTATTTTAGTTTTATGTTTTAGTTTTCGTATTTTTATTTTTATTTTATAACAATATTTGATTGTAGTTGGCGGGTCAACCCAGAAGGCCCAAAGTTTAAGCTTATTTGTATCACACTACCTTCAATAAGAGATAAAAACAAAATTTAAAATTTCACCAGAAACTTGACATTTGTAACGAAACAGAAACTAACATAATTTAAACAATACTTTGCCACAATAAATAACTAATTATCCTAAAAAAAACTATACCAAACAAGTGAATGGTTACACTTACATTCTTACAAAATTTCACAATTCACAACTCACAACTTACATGCAAAGATGATCCAAATCTTCACTACAAACAAAAAAATATGTAATAAATCCGGGTTTTATCTTTACCACCTTTGAGTTATCGCCAACTCCTCCATCCGAAATTACATTAAAATAAAAGGAATTACAGATATAGCAGGACTTCTACTCACGAAGCTAACCTAAAGCTGTTAGAAATGTCTCTAATATTGATCTTTTAGCCTAGTTCATGTTTCAAGACATGACTAAAGACCTACTCTCCTTAGCGCACGAGACTTACTTATGCCTTGTTTATTTTTAATGAAATTTACCAGATGATAAAGAACTCGAGCTGAACCAATACGTGAATAGGACAAGGCATTCGGTTTGTGAGCATGAGTGTATGCACCCTTATGAGGGTGGGGGGCTAGGCCATCGATTAATTTTGTGGATCTAACTATTTTATATAAGAAATTGGGCTATAACTTAAATTTATATATGCAGGCCATTAATGATTTAATAGTTGACTTGAGTGTGTAATAAATAAGTAGAACAGCAAAATAGAAAAATAAATGTCTTCAAATTCTAGAAACGAGAAGAAAGAAGCAATCTAGAGTCCTCCACTATTTTTTTTTTTTGTTATTTGGATTTATATTATATATTTATATATAGTTCGTAAATATGATTTTGAATGTGTTAACAATCACTTGAATTTTGATTTGTAAATTACAAGATTGTATTTAAATGATTATATGGTCAACTTCGAAGTTCAGTAAGTTAATTGTGCATTATTTTTCAAATTGATGTTAAGAAAAAAAAGACTTTTTTCACTTAATTATTTTGGTTTGAAACGATCATATAGTTAATTGCTAGTGAGTTACAAAGATTTGCATAATAAAAACATTTATAAACAATTTACAGCTTTACAAATAATGCTCTGCGATGCCATGCTATTGATGTTTTATAAATAAAGATATGATGTACGACGATAAGCTTAGTATATATAAGCTTCCATGTGTGATATTAATCATATTATGGTTGTATTTCCCTATCATGTTAGGCATACCACTCACGGTATACTACTCCCATATGGACACGTCTACTATTAATTTACGTTTTATGTCTAAACAAAACTTGTTTAACCTGACATAACATATGATCAACAATGTTTACAAGGCTATCATGCATAATGAAATATGTAACTAGAGGTAGAATCAGAAATTTCCATCGGGGGTAGCGCAAAAGAAAATTCTCGACACGATATAGTAAGATAAAAAAAAATTAATTACGATTTCATTAAATATAACAAACTAGTATAGATATTACATTTTTAAGTTGACATCTTCGTTTACTCATTTTTTGAAAGCGATTCATTATATCTTCAATATGAACATCTATAAATGTTTCTTCTTCAACACTATAAATCAATGCATCATTCATTAAATCATCATTCAATTTGTTACACAAGTAAGTCTTCAAAAGCTTCATTGTGGAAAAACATATTTCGGATGTTACAATTGTGACATGCAAAAGTGACAACGCTTAAATTATAAATATATTTTGTGTGTTATCTTATTATTTTGAGTTGAGTTTTGATGCATTTAAAGATAAAATATATTTACAATGTTCATATTTGCATCTTGCAAATAAAATACCTTGTTGGAAGAAAGGGGAGCAAAAATGAGCAAAAAAAGTTACAAGTTGAACTGGAACAAAATTTGTTGAAAATTGTTGAAAAGAGTACGCTACGCGTCCACATATAACAATCAAAACCCTCGAAGTCTATTAATAAGCACGACACATCCTTTAGCTATGTAAGACACGTCTTTCAAGTCGACTAGAATGCTATAAATATGCCTCAACCCTTTAACCTAATTATCAATTAGCAGAGGAACACCAAAGAGCTGTCGTTTTGAGAATCCAAAAGACAATTCAAAGGCCAAAAGGTTGACATGGAGCAGGAATCTGAAGGATCAAGAGCATATTCATGAGGAAATTCCTTTGGTTTGCTTTTATGTCTATATTTAGCATTATATTTAGAATTCTTTATGTTCTTGTTTCTAATTAGGGCTTAAAAACCCTTTGATGTATATGAATATTTTATGATTTAGTTAATAGCAATCTTGATGTTAATAGTTGTTTGTTTTATCTTGCTTGTTTGGTCAAAGATCCATATGTGTTAAAGCTTGTATCTTGGTTGCCTATTGTGTGAGTTATTGCAGTTTAGATGACGAATGTAAGAACCTAAAATTTAGAGAAAGTTTACTTTTAGTCAAATATTGACCGAAATAGGAAAATGGTCAATTATGAGAAAAATATAAGATTTTGATGTTGTGACTTCATGAAAATGGCCAATAAGAGTTTATGTCACTTAGAAGATGTTAGATGAGCAAGTTCAAGAGAAACGATGCATGAGAAGATGCATTTTGGTCAAAAGGGTAAAATGGGTGTTTTATGCTTTTTGGGCCAACTTCGTGACTTAACAGATTAAGACCCATATTAAGTCAGTAAGATATGACTTAACAGAGTTGTAGAGTATGTTCCCACCGTGTTGATATAAAGAACATCTCAAACGGGTAAGGAATGAAGAAGTTATGAATGTTAGAATTTGGGACAAGATTTGTCCCAAAGCAGGAATGGAATCAGCCCAAGGGGCTGCTGTCAAGTCGAAACCACAGCGCGGAACATACTTTTCCCCGTGGCACAATATATGGGTGCCACGACCTGGTGGCCAAAATAGGATGTCATAGAGGAAGAGTACCATTGTGTCGCAATTAAATGGTTGCTATTGATCTTCGGTCTGATGGTCGATGCGGCACGGTATATAGAACGATGTGGCAATGTTACGCACTCACAGGTTTTAACATGTTAAGAGCTCATTAGATCCATTTTATGGGGAGATCGATTGGGATCTCAAAGGGGGAAATTGTGCCGCCCAAATGGTGCCAAGATAAGCTAGCTTGGTGGGTTTTTAAGATTGTTATCCTCTCCACATCAAGGTAAGATTTCTCTATTTTTTGGTGAAATGTTTGATTATAGTAGATTGGTTGAATTGAGCAAACTATAACTTGATTATGATTTTAATGATAGTGTTTAGATATGTTAGTCAAGCTTAGAAATTGATTTTTATAGTGAAATCTATGTATGTGAAGTTATGGTTTGAAACCCTAATTCATGAGGTTATGAATTGATGCATTAGAGTATATTATAATGAATTGAGTAGTATGGGTTGCTTAATTTATTAATTGGATGAGATTAAGCGATAGAGAATTAAAAGATAGAATTTTGATCCATTAAGTGGTTATTTTTCTTTAAAGAGTCAAAAGCTCTTAATAGGATAAGGCAAGTATTAAGAACTTGTATATTTGTATGATTAGGCCTAAGAGCATTGAAGATGGATCCATAATGCATCAATGGCAGAGTAGATGAAAGTGGGACAACTAGTCTTCACTAACTGATAAGGTGAGTTATTACTCTCACTCTCTCTCTTTAAGTTATTTTATACATTTTTATGTATATATGTATGTATATTTATGTATGTTAGAGTCATGTACCTGGGCATGAAATAAAGGAAGAAAAGAAATAATTATATAGATTATAATCCTATGTAAGATTATGTAAATGTGGTTATACATGTAAGACATGTATCTGAGCATGTATGTGTAACCAAAGAATGTATAGATGTATAAGAAAAATATACGGCTATTATGAGTAATACCCATAAGAATGGATAAAGAAAGAATGGGATCATATATAATATAATCCTATGTATGATTAGAGATAGAATATGTATTTGTTAAAATACCTAAGAGGAAGTATATAGAAACAGAAGATGATTGTACGTAGTATAATCATAAGAGTAAGAATGTATGTCCAGACGTTATTGATATTGTGTAGAATATCAATATGTTATTAGACATAGATCAAGATTAAGTACTTAATGAGTTAAGAAGAGAAAGATTAGAAGCTCTATTGACGAGACAAAGAGATAGATTGTCTGTGGGAGTAGTGTTATGTGATAAGTCACATAATAAAGATAGA